TGTGCCGTCCTTCGCTATGATGCGAACGGAATCCATCTCCGATGGATTCCAGGCTGTTGCCGTCGGCCAGTGCAATGGGAGAGGATCTTGGCCTGTATTCGGTGAATCGCGATCTGTCGCTGAACATGTGGTGACTCGCCCCGCTGTCGAGAAAACAGACGTCGGGAGAGTGAACAGCCGCAAAAGCCCTTCTGATGCAGAGAAGACCACTGTTGGTGGTGCTGAAGGAGGCGTTGTCGTCGTCTTCTCCGGCGTCGCTGGCGGGTTTGAGTGCTGCCTGCTTGGCGATTGGCTTCTTCCTCTTGACCTGTCGGCACTCGGCTGCAGAATGTTTAGTAGCCGGATTGTGGACCCCGGGAGAGCAGACGGGCCATGGTTTGTTGGCTGCCAGTGCCGATTCTTGCTTGATTGATGGCACGAAGGTTGGTGTTGAAGCCTTGTGGGGATTTGATTCGATGCCTCTCCTCTCGTTGTCGAGAGCCACGCGAACCATTGCTAAGGTGAAAGGCCGTTGAGCGTAGAGGATAGTCTTAACTTGCTTGTACTCGTCGGGTAGTTTTGCGATGATAGTTTCGACTACTAGACTTTCTTTCAAGTCGGCTTTCTCTGGTTGACCGATGACTAATCCGACCGCTGCGAGCCTGCTGAGCTTGATGTTTAGGTCGTCGATGAAGGTACTCATTGAATCCCTGTAAGGGAAAGTGGTGAAGTCGAGATAGACTGATGATTGGTTTTGCGCCGAGTTAGATTCGTAGTATCCTTTCAGCAAGTCCCAGATGAGGTGAGGCTTCTTTGCGTTGTCGGTGGTGATGAATCGCTGATGGTTGATATCGCCGATATATTGGTATAATATACCTGACACTTGTTCTTGCTTCTCTTTGAAATCTGCAAGTCGAGCGGCGTCGGTTGGTAGGACTGTGGTAGAGTCGAGGTATTTTGCAAGTCGGTGTTGCATGCAGTAGCCTAAGATTTTGTTCTTCCACGATGTCCAGTTGGAGTCGGAGAGAACTGGAAGTTTAACTTCAGACATTTTCGGCGTGACGATGTGATGGTTGTAGCTAGGAGGAGCGCGGGCTCATAACCTAATGGACTCAAAACCGGGCCGACAGACACCTATGAAATGCGAGAGCGCTATGAGCAACGCGAATGGCGTAGAGATGAAGTAGGACGGTGGAGGCACACCTATGAAATGCGAGAGCGCTATGAGCAACGCGAATGGCGTAGAGATGAAGTAGGACGGTGGAGGCACACCTGTGATCGAGTGAGTGGTTTGAGTGAGTTGAATGGAATTAAGCAATGTAATGAGATGAATGAAAGACAGGCGACATGATGACTACATACTGACCTATGAAATGCGAGAGCGCTATGAGCAACGCGAATGGCGTAGAGATGAAGTAGGACGGTGGAGGCACACCTGAGCGAAGTCAGAAGAAAACAGGTGTTATGAGAAAACAATAACAAGAAATGAGAGAATGAGAAATAGCAGGCATACCTGTGATCGAGTGAGTGGTTTGAGTGAGTTGAATGGAATTAAGCAATGTAATGAGATGAATGAAAGACAACAAGGTGGAAACGAAGTTGGACTAAATAAATCTACATTAGGGTTGCTTGAATATCATCAACTGAGTTCAAACCTAAGCGGTACTCGATCCGCAGCGTTTGTCCCGGAGCTATGCCTCAATATTCCCATGGGATGTGGCCAGAATTTTTGGTAACTGTTTTGGGAATTTCCCAAAATCTTCCTTTTACTCCTGTTGGGTATGTAAATACTTCCACAAACACATTCCAAGATAAACCACCAAATGGCACCCTATGGCTCTCCTTTGTCTTACAAGTTAGGCAAGTTTGAATATGTCAATCCACATTGGACAGTTCTCCCAGTTTCACTGCAGATGTACCCGGCAATCATGCGATTGAGACTGTGTGTAGACCAGCTACAGTACACTCATGGCCGCTTCATGAATCACCAAAACAAGCTTGCTCGGGGACTGATTTGTAATGTATCAATTTCCTCCAGAAATACCTAGCTGACACACATCTTCGAGCGAGTCTGATCAACAGATAAGGACGAATGCAATGGGGCAAAATGGAGCATGTAGCTTGAAACCGAATAAGATTATAACAGCATGCATTGTGATGCGGAAAACTGGAGGATTAATAATCTTGAACCCGATACGTATTGCAGCAGTATTTTGCTTTTGCCACCTTCGGGTTTGCGCTGTGAGCTTGGTAAAGTTGTCGACCGTTCTCCGTTATGTCTCACTACATATGTACCGAACAGAAATGTTCTGAAGTCATACATAGGGGTCGCCGTGCCTGAGGCTGAGCCTTGCGTAATTACCTTTAACGTGTCACTAGTTTGACTATGTCCAGTCCAAAACCACCCATGTCTATCAACAATATTCACTTTGTTAACTAGAAGTTGAACCCAAACAAGCAACCTTTGTAATCCCAAGCACAAGTTTCCACCTTGCTTGTATCTATATTGTAGGAGAAAGGACTCAGTCAAAACGATTTCATACTTCTTCGCGGTTGGGTCATAGAATCACTTCCCTTGCCAATCAAATATGGGCGTTTTCAACTTCAACGGCGTGTTCGGATTGTTTTCTGAGTACCCACTCACGCGTAACTTCAAGGACCCTCGCATTCCCATGACCGGTAAGATTTGCTCCCCTCCGGATGTTAAGAGATTATTAAATTCAGTGACTCACCCCGTCCTCAATCCTTGATGCAGTCACCATTTGTTCAGTGCGTTTCACCCAAATATTTCGGTTTGATGCCGCCAGTGACGTTAAGATTTTCAATGGTTGGAACAGGTGCTGGTACTTATGGGTTTGATACTTTTCAACGTACTCACTCAGTAAGTCTTCAACTCAGCGTGATTTATTACCTGCTGTCTATGAGTTAATCGCGGCTCTAAACACGATGAACGACTTGACATTTTTTACAGAGGGTCAGTCTCCCAGACCGAGTATGTATCTAGTTTTCTTTTTGATTATTCCAATTGAGGAGCAGCACTTAATAAAAATTTATCGATCAACTTTTTGAGACTTCGATGGCACTAAGTGACCAGATATGCAAGTGAGGATAACTGATTCTCTTCTTGTATTTCTTATAGATCCATCCTGCGAGGCCATTGGTATATCAAAAACAGCACCTTATCATGCCAGCCGGCCACGATGGTAATGGGTAATTCGTATTTTACCAACACGCAACCTACTCACCCTGGAGACAATAAAGAGCTAGATAAAGAAGCTGGAGAACAGAGGGGATCGTTTTCTTGGTCACTTCAAAGTGTGGTGCGAGGGCCTGAAGGTCGAGATACCGGCGAAACTGGATTTTATTACGAAGAAAGTCCGCTAAGATGTAATGTAAGGCTCTTGCTCTGTTGAAATCGTAATATCAAAACGATGAGCCTGGAGGCGGCTGCCCGATAAATTGATACAAATGCTTTCCGTCTGCCATTGTGTAGATTACTGGGATCTCTCTGACCTATGATTTCCAGATACAAAGCTTCTCCTATTCGTAAGTTTCAATAAAATTTCGATGATATTCAACAGTTATGGGAAGATAAACGACCGGGATTACAGGATGCGGGCGATGTGTGTAACTCCAAGCGTCGAGAAAAATACAGCGGACAACTACATATGTCTCGAAACGAGATTTTCCATTGTGGATAGAGCGTACGTAATTTAAGGTCTTTGATGCAGAGCCTGGCCAAGATTTGACCGGCTGGTTGCACGAGCTGACGGCCTTGTCTTGTTGTGTCCCCAGGGTTCCGAGATTCACTGAAGAAGTACAAAACACCCTACAAGCACAAGTATTGTAAGCCCCACAACGTTCTTGCTCGCGACAAACCGCGATGCATCACTGATTGCCGAAGTTACTCAGCGGAATTTCGAAGTATTATCCCGAGCTCAACTTCAGCGCGAATGCATTGCCGAGTACGGCTTTCCCACCTTACACCGACCTCAACAATAGTCTAGCCCAGGAAGAGGTGGGAAACCGTGACATCCTGCAATGGTCGGTCTGGTTGGATGGCTTTAATTACACTCTTACTGAAAACTATCAAGATTTCAATCACTCGCATCTTTACATGCAACCTGAACCACAAGGAAAACTTTACATTTCTGGCGCAGCGGCAAACCCGAGAAGCTTCGACCAGGGTACCCTCGACCTACTTAATGCAGGAAAATCGGGTCTCCAGATCGCTGCTGTTGGTATTGGAGGAATTCGACCGATTCCACCTAGCGCAACGTTAACTGAAGTCCAGCTTTTGCCCGCCCCGATGCCACTCTATCTCAATCTAACGGAATCTATCCTTGCAATCATGATGGATATGGCGGGGAAAGATCTTGATAAGCGCGTCTTGGGTGCCGGATACCTCTGCACAATAACGAAGACTCCTTGGAAAAAGGCAATCCCCATGTTAGCAATGATCATCGGAAGTTGCTCGGGGATGTTCGGCGCTGCTTTGACAATAATGCTATTTGTATGTTTTCAAATTCAAATTTTCATTTCCGAGACGGATTGAAGAGACTTAACGTGTTATCTTGTGCCTGTCCCACTTTGTTTTTGGTTCGACTGATCATTAAAAAAGGTTGCTCGAAGATATGATAGTCACTTGATTTCGAAGCAAGAAAAGAGAGCAACATCCGACTCGGCCGTATTAGATAATCCGCTGATTGAATCCGAACGTGATGAACTGATGTTAGAAAGTCAGATAGAAGTCATGAAGAAGAAACCGGACCAGATATTGTGGTAGCTCTTCGCAGTATATACCAAAATATATTTTCAAATACATTAACCTGTGATCTTTCTTGGGTTTTGCGTAAAATGAATTCTTGGGATTGATAGAGACTTTAATATTGAATGTTGATCGAATAGTTAAAAAGGGATTTATCATTTCAAAATAAAGATAGATGGTAAAGATTTGATATGTGCCCATTTGTCAGCCTGCTACTAATCAGAGCCAGCCTGAACATAGCAGTTACTTATTTAGAGATATTATTACTTACATATGTACATACAATTAAAATATTAAAATACACTATTTAAATAAGTTGAAACACTATAATAGATACATTATTACACATTACACTTACATTGTAAATATTTCATGAGAAAAACATTTAAATAATTTAATAAACTATGGAAAATAACACTTTTAACCAGAATCTTTTAATAACTTCTGAACCCTAAGTATAACTCAGAATATTATTTCAGATTTTGAATCTACATGCAAAATAACCTAGGGTAGCTCACCAAGTGTACCCCTGAATTATTACTCCTTCACTTACTTTGTAGTCCTTGAGTGATATTGGACCAAAATACACTGTAGACCCCTCCAGTTACATCATACTACATGTTGTAAGGGGGCTACATGTGTAATTAAGGTTCATACAGTTCGGGAAAAATCTACAAACAAGGTTTACATCATTGAAACCTTAACTACATGAGCACAGACTACAGTATTAAATTGTTTGGGATGATCTGTGGCCCTTTTTGGCCCAATTGGGACAATTACTCTCTTGAGGATCAACCCATGCATCATGCAGTGCTTACATAGGCTGCAGGAGTGTTACAGTTTCGTCAGAACACCCTGCAAACATGGTTACAAGCATTACATCATCTCCTTGGCACCTGTAACCAAGCTCTACAGGTGCTACAGATGATCAAAAGCTCCCATAGGCTTAGTAGGAGAGTTGTAGCAACTAGAGAGACTCCTGAGTTCGCCTCCAGAGGCCCAGAATGGGTACTTAAGAGCCCCTTCTTCCCCCTGAACCTTGTTTCCCCATCTTCATCATTACTTACCAGCATAAACCGTCACCAACACCCAGTATCAACCTGCCTTTTGGCCCTGTTCCTGCTGTTTGTAACCTGAACTTCAACCTTTCAAACCAACACCTGTTCCCCAGCACTCTCAACACCTCTCACCCACCTTTCTGAGCGCCTCAAGAACAGTCCCCCCTCTCCTGAAGACCTCCTTGGATTAGAGATAAGTACCAGTAAGTATTATCTCTTTTATTCTTCAGTAGTAGACTTTTTCTGGGTTTACTCCTTTATTACAAAGGACCAGAACTTCAGTACCACCCCTGCAACTCAGGACCTGAATTAGAGGGCACAGTAAAAAACCCCTGCAACTCAGGCCCCTCTGTAAATAAAAACTTAACAGTTTTTATTTACTATTTTCTTTTATTTCACACAAACTTCCCCCACTTTTCACGTGTCACCCACACGTGTACACATCCCATTTTCACTCTTGCAGCTAGTGTAGCTAGAAGAGTTCTGCTCTTGGCATCACTTAGCCTGACACCATTGCCCTGTAAATTTTTTGACATCTTTTCCCAATCCATAAATTTTCCTTTCTTGAACAGATATTTGGGCAATGGAGATGGGAATCCAAAGTAATGCATTTAAATCAATGAAGCTAGATGTAAACAAGAATTGATATCAATAAAAGAACTCTTATGATCCCAGAGAATCTGGGTCTAAAGTGGCTGTTTTTCTTTAGAAATGTTTGAATTTTGTGCATCAGGATATTCTAAGGCTATAATTAAGGTATTCAAAGCTGAAATTAAGGTATTCAAAGCTGAGATTCCTAACTTCACAAATCATAGAATCACAAAATCCCAAAGCTTTTAGGCCCCATTTGGAAGTGGCATATATTGTGGTTGCCAAAAAGCTTGGATTCGATTTGTTTTTTTTTGTCGCATTTTGTGGAGTTAGGTTTTTTATGATTAATTTCAAATTTGCTTCTGCCTCAGTTGTCCCACAACTTTTGAGTCTCTTCTCAGCTCATGTGACCGGTGGGCCAGAGGGGGGTGACCGGCAGCCCTAGGAATCAGCTGTTGGGGTCATGGGCCAGAGGGGGGTGACCGGCAGCCCTAGGAATCAGCTGTTGGGGTCAACATTACGCTCCGGTTCAGAATATGAACTTGGTTTTTTGATAAATCTACTATCTGAGCATCTATGGGGTGGTTTTACTCCTGGGTGTTGTCTGACAGATGATGAATCGATTTTGTTTACAGGCAACATGAGCCACCAATCTCTTCATTTTTGACATGAGGTTCAAATGATGAGACCATCTTCATCACAATAAAATCAATATTTCACTTTACATTGGTCACAAGTGTAATATTTCTATTATGAGGCTGGAGATGGCCTAATAACTTGAATCTGATGACAAGATTAAAGTGCATGTTGCCCGTGAAAAAAATTGGATATTTTATTTGGAATGGTTTAGGGCCTGTACAGTGCCTAGACAGTGGAAAGTGGCTGCTTATTTTGGATTCCAGAGCTCCAAACCACAAATTTGAAATCATGAGACTTGGTCAGGTGGTGCATAATAGGTCCCAAAAAATGAATATGAAATAATAAAAGCAAAAAATAAAGTTTCAAAATTTGTGAAAAATAAAAAATAAAATTGATTTTTTTCAAAAGCTTTGATATTCATTTTGGGGGAGTGGGAGTGCTGAGAGAAAGAAAGATTGGGAAATGAGAAGAATGATTGTAAATGAAAATTTTGGAAAAACTGGTTTTCAGATGGCTTCAAACAGCTGTTGAGTGGGGCATTCACCAGCCCACATTGCAGCAAAGCACTAGAATTTACTGTTTTGGCTCCAATCTGGACCACCAACCTGGCTAAACCTTTTTTGGTTCCAATTTTTTTCATTTATAATCATTCTTGCCATGTTCCATTCTTTCTTTCTCTCAGCACTCTCACTCCCCCAAAATGAATATCAAAGCTTTTGAAAAAAATTGAGTTTATTTTTTATTTTTCACAAATTTTCAAACTTTATTTTTTGCTTTTATTATTCCATATTCATTTTTTGGGAGCTTTTATGCACCACCTGACCAAGTCTCATGACTTCAAGTTTGTGTTTCAGAGCTCTGGAATCCAAAATAAGCAGTCACTTTTCACTGTCTACCCACTGTACCACAACCCCAATTTTGAGGTCAATTTCCAATTTTCAAGTTGGAAATTGACTTGGTTGGAAATGGTGTACCATGCACACTCAATTTCCCACAGCACACAAGCCAGATTTTCAGTGCCAACCCCAAAATGGATTTTGGTTGGTGAAAAATAAAAAGATCACAAATGAAAATGAGAATTGGCTGGGGTGCTACGGTACAGGCCCTTAGTTTTTATCTAATTAATTGGAAATTTTAACAGCTATATTTATGCCACTGCCAAACAGGGCTCAGTAAAGGTTTTGTGATCTTGATCGCCTTATAGTTTTAGGTGATCATTTTCTATGGATTTGTTGATGAATTTTGCTGAGTTGTTGGATTGTTCTAAGTGTATATTATAGATTTATTGATATCAATTTAAAATAACCTGGTTTTGAATAATCCAGAAAATATTTTATCAGATATGGATGTCTATTAGGGGGTATCAAATATAGGAAATCCACCATTAGAAACCAGTCACTTTTCCCAAAAAAAAATTTTGCATCAATGGGCCTCAAAAGGGGTTAAATGGATAACTAACATGTTTAAAAAAGGGTGGATTTTTTCAAACCAGTCAATTAAATAGTGGTGGATTTGGTTATATTTGATTCCACATATTGTGGGAAAAGATAACAACTACAATTTACTATAATAGAATTTTTTTTTGTGAATGGTTGAATAGAAAACATGTGTCTCGATGATTTAGAAAATCATAGAAGGAATTATTTGTTCACTTGAAAACTTGATATTTTCTAATTTTCTACCTGATACCAAATCAAATTTCTGGTTAGTTATAAAACTCACAAAAATTTTAGCAAGAATCTCCACCACTGGTGGAGAATTTCAGGCAAAAAATGCCATCTTCAGATAGTGTTGGGACCAAATTAGAGATTTCATCAGGCACCTGCTTCTGGGTACCCAACACACGTTTGCGGGTACCTGTTTTCCAAAGCTGGTACCCAGAAACGGGTGCTGGGTGCAGGTGTGGATGTCACCATTTGAGGCAAAAAACAGGCAGGTACCCACCTTACACCCTCACTGATAATATATCATGAGTTTCCTGTTCACCTGAGAATTTTCATGAACATTGATTGACTTGAGGAGTAATAAGAAATAGATTACATTCATGAAGCTGGTGTGTTTTAAAGATGAGAGAAAAGAATACAACTGTTGTATCAGTGGTCCGCAAACACACACATATTGATACATCTTTTGTGGACAGAATTACCTGCAATCGGTGGTGGTGAAAATGATACAGTTCATCAATATATATGTGGGATTTGACTGTAAAAAAAAGGAGCAAGATATTGGTCATGAAGGGATTGAAGGGGATGAAAATGTTTGGGCAAACAAAAAAAAAGAGTAGAAGGAAGAAAGAAGGTATTTGGAAAGGAAGAGGGAACAATTTTTCTTTTGGTGGGTTATTTTTATCTTGATGGTGATGACAATGATTCAGAGAATAATTGAACAAACCAAGGAGGGAAGGAAAAGTGCAAGTGAGGGAGATAACAAACAAAGAAATAAATAAAGGCTGAATGCAAATGGAGCTTGACAGAGAAGAAGCATGAGAGTTAGAAGAATTGGAATAAGCCAAAGAAGAGGAGGAGGAGGCAGAGGAGGAAAGAGAGGATGCGGTGTGGAACTACTCTTGGGATGAATAGAGCTGGAGAGGGAAAGATGCTTTAATGGGCTGCCTCTCTGGTAACTGGGTTGATTAAGATAACAAGAAAAAGATAAGAGTATGGACTCTTAAGGAAAGGTGGGGCTTTGGAGAATTCTTGAGATGGGTATGTCTTCTGTCTTCTGGTCTTCTGTCTGAATAATACTAGTATCCCAAATGTTGATGGGCAACTACTAGGCTAATGAAGGGTGATCAGTTATCTGGATTGCTGGGGCAGGATCTGATGAGGAACAAATGAAGAGGGGAAAACAAGGCTCCTTATATACAAAATCTGGGGAGTGGCCAGCTTGTGGTTGGAATCACCATGGAACAAAATGGAACAAGAGAAAATTATCAAACTGAAACATGTGGCCCAATTGGTAGGACTAGGCACTAAGATGAATGGGGAAAATGACATCAGAGACATGCAGGGATGAAATGTGCCACAACCAATGAGGGAGGAAGACAATACCAAAGAGATAAATGAACTAGCCAGATGTGTACTAGTGTGAGACATGCAGATAACCCAAGAGGAATAGTGTGAAACAGTGAAATGTGGCCCAAAGTGGAAATGAGGCTAGAGCAAAAGTGGAATAGAATGAAACACATGCAGAGGCCAAGTGTGGAAGGCTGAATGGGGATTGATGATGTAAGACTGCATGAGATGATTATGTAATAATGAAATGAAAAGAGAATCCAGAGTGTCTTCTGTCCAGGGGGCTTGGTCTTGTGACATTGATGGTGTTGCAGGTTAACTGAATATTCCAGAAGGGGCTTGTCTTGGTCCTTGAGGGTCTTGTCATTCAGAGGGCTTGATATTGTACTTGAAGCTTTGATTTTGTGGGCCTCTTATTCAAGATTGGCTTACCACAGCGGGTACCCAGGTAACCACCCTGGCGGGGGTGGGTGTGGGACCGGTGCGGGTTTCCACAATAATGGATTTTTGAGGTGGGTATCTGGGTACCCAGGTGTGAGGTGACATCTCTAGATCAAATCTGAGCCCTGTTAGTTAAGGCTTCAGTTACTAACAAAATATTGGGATTCATTTGCCAAATCATAGGGTTTTTATCAAAGGTAGTTCAATGATTTACCCACTTGCAACTGTAATTTTAACCATCTTCCAAGGAAGATTGCTGCTTGATGGGTAGGCATAGACTAAATCCACTTGTAAAGGAGGATCCCCCTTTGAAAGTGGGTACATCTTTTCCATGCTGACCAATGAGAGATTCTTCTGTTGAATTGGTTAATGTATGTAAAAATGAAGAAATAATCCTCCTTGCAATGGCAAAACCAATACAATACATGTATTTGTATTGTATCAAAAAAAAGATACTGTATATTGAACTATTGGTTCTTATTTGTCATTCTTATGCTATGAGAATATTCATTATCTTTATACGCACAAAAAGTATTGGTTGTATTTTGAAACCTATTTGATGATGTAGTTCTCTGAGTTTGCTTGCTTGTACATACCATTCTCTCTTTATCTTCTTCAATCAAATTGTTTCTTATCAAATCTCACAACTCAATTCACCAAAGTCAAAACATTTCACTACAGGTCAATTATCATTTTCATTCATTCATGTTAACCCATCTCATCATTGTTTCACAAATTCATTAGGTTTGATCTTTGGTTATATCAATCATTGTAGTGATCTGATATCACCTACTTCTAAGCTTGTTGTTCAATAAATCAGATACAAAAAATATCTGAAGAAACTGTATTGTATTGTATTGTATTGTATTGTATTGTATTGTATTGTATTGTATTGTATTGTATTGTATTGTATTGTATTGTATTGTATTGTATTGTATTGTATTGTATTGTATTGTATTGTATTGTATTGTATTGTATTATATTGTGTATGTTTCACCATTGCTCCTTGGTGAGGGGTTCTATGCTGTAACTACATCCACTTGGTAAGTGGTTACCTGTCCACACTTGCAGCTCATTGGCAATGAGGTACTGAGCGTAACAATTAATCCTCTTGAAATAACTATGTGGATTAAATCATGTTTTTGGGTTTTAAATTTTATTGAACATGAAAAAAAAATTGTGAAAAGAAAGTTCTTTGGTCAATGTCAGAAAAAATCAGAATATTTTGGACCTTGTTGCAATTTCATGTTTAACTTTTTAGCAGAGAATTTGAAAGTTGCATTGAAGAATTTTTTGAAGATCATGTTCTGTTCAAGTGATTTTGAGTGATGAACGTTTTCTGAAATGTGATCTACTTTCTTGAAAGCAAGTTGTTTCAAATCATTTCTTTCTTGAGAATTTTCAATCCAGAGAAAGATGGAACTCCAAAGCAAGTTTATAGCATATTGATGGAATGATTTGGTGCATCTGATTTTATCAATTTTATATGTTGGTGTATTTTTGAATTCTTGAAATATTCTTATTGCTTCTTTGAATATTTGATTTTTGATTACAGTTTCACTAGTTTGGATTTTTGGTAATAAAGGAGCATTGGGTGGAATGATACTATCTATCATATCAACAAAGAGTAAATAGAATTGAAATAATTTTACTTCATTCTCATTGGTACCTCTAATTTCAGGTTCAATTTTGAACCCATTCCTTCTTTCCCAAAATTTGAACCACTGTTCATGATTATCCCCTACCAATTTCAGATTTTCTACTAGAAGATCTCTGGATAGATGTCTGCTATAATTCTTATCTGTCTTTTTTGGTGTATGATAAATGGAATCCAATGTGGAAAAAGCAGTTGGAGCCTGTTCAAATCTCAATATCAGTTTGTTCCCTTTATCTGATTTCATTGATTGAAATAATTTTTCCAATTTTTCTTGGATTTTTGATGATGGGTCTTCAATAACAATCATATCTAGACCAAAATATAATCTTCTTATTTGCAGTTCAGGGCTCAAAAGGAACTGGTTTTTAAACCTTTTCCTTTCACCACCAACCAAGCTTAGTGGGTGGTAATATTCATTCCCTCCACTGGAAAGAGTATCTTCAACCCCTCTTCTAGAATTAATTCTTGTTTGAGACAAGCCAATCCTTTTTTTATTTAAAGAATTGGGATTGGGTCGTTTTTCTACAGAACTATCTTGTGGATTGCTACACAATGGAATTTCATTTTCAGATGGGTGTTCACTTTGAGCTTTCTGACCACGTTTTGGAAAATCACTCCACAATTTTTCCCTCATTAAATTATGTATTGCCACCTCATGTAAATTGTGAGAATTCTGATTGAAATTTGCAACTGATGAAAGTTCAAATCCTGAGTTCATCTCAGAGGATGGGTTTGAATTGTGACATTCAAGTCTATGGATGCTTGTGGGTTCTGGCTGTGAAGCAACCCCAAAATGACTTAGAAAATCCATGTTTTCACTTGGATTGTTGGGTTCTGGATTGATTCTTAAATCTTCAGAAAATGTCTCTGTTCTTCGTGTTTTCATTGTGGCAATTTGAAATGGAAGACAAAAATCCAAATTTTTATGGATACTCAATGGTCCAGGTGGATCTTTCCAGTTTATGTTGTTTATCAGGTTAGACTTTCCAAAAGCATGTGGACTTGATGAAGTGCCAGAAGAAACAAAATGTGGTCTTTGATGGTGAATTGGCTCCCAAGTGTGAAAGTCTGTAACAAAGTCACTGTCTTTTCTAGTCATAAAATGACCACTTGGAGCAAGGTACAACTCCTTCCCTGCATTTTTGAGTTCTTCTGGTGATGCAATGGTGTTATCATGACTAAATTTGGTAAGATCTGGTAGTCTTGAATCCATATCTTTTTGCACTTTGTGATTACCAGTTGATAAAGTCAATGTGAGATCAGGGATCTCACATGCAGAAGGTTGATCTTGGATTGCTTGACTCATGGGATAACTAGTTGAACCATGCAAGAAGTCTTGCATTGCATTACAACCCAGAAACATCCCACAAGAGGTGAGCAGGTGATAGTTGTTCATAATTGGCATCTTTGATTGACCCAGCTTTGACTTGAAGTTGTTAAGCAAGTAGGCTCTTCAAGTGTGACGATGAGTTGAGGAAGCCTGGCAAAACTTCTCAGTCAACAGGCTTTTTTTATAAGCTCAGGTCTCAGTTATGACGTGAGTCATTTGGCCCCAAACTTAAACAAGCTCCGACCGTGTTTAGTTAAGGTTGAGTTGATCCCCCGTTCCGACGAGTTCAAGACGTGGTGGTGGTGCATACAGTCTGTATGCATCTGGCTGTCTGGAGTGCTGCGGGGAAACTTTAGGGCGGAGTCTTCGAGCTGAAGCTGCTTGTTGACCGGCATCCCTCTTTCTCAAACACCTCCCCACGATGACCCAGGCTGAAGAGGTTAGACCTTCATCGATTTTCGACATCCGGTCAGGTACAATCCAATCGGGTGATACGGTAATCGTTTACCAAGTCAGTCAACTGTTCATCTGCCATTTCTTGGGCTTTTTTTAAATTATTTGATTTGATGTTGCCGTTGATTGATGGTTCTATTTTTTTTTGGCAGTCCAGAGACAACCTTACCGCCATTGTCGTCACCCCAGGCCAACAACTTAACACCAGGTATGGCGAGTTCCCTCATTCTGACATGATCGATATCCCATTCGGCTCCAAGGTTCGGCGTCTAGCTAGTGACTCTACACCGATCACCCCAGTTTGACGATTGAATATTGCTTTCTGAACATTGTACATATTTAATTTATGAAAAAAAATAGTGCCCGAGTCGCAAAGGAAATGGGTTCACGTATTTACTTAGGCCGACTCCAGAGTTATGGTAAAGCCTGAATTCACCGGTTGGAGTGACCAATCTCCCGTTTAAAAGTTCCGCTTTCCTTATTTGGACACCGAAAAAATTATCACCCACAGGACCTTAGCCCTCCCACATCGGACCCAAATCCTCTATCATCCCGATATCTCGTTTGTTACATCGCAGCTGAACATCAAGCCCGGATCGTATGTCATAGAAGCAGGTAATCTTGTGTCCCTTAGCATTTTTGCCGTTTCTTTCGCCACTCATTTCCAGCCGTTGGTTCCTGAGACGCAAAATTCAACAATGAGGCCTTCTTATTTTCTAGGAACCGGTTCGGGTTCGTTTTCGCACTCGATAGCACGAACGATTGGACCAGGGGGGAAATTGTTCTCATTCGAATTCCACGAAGAGCGACATACCAAAGCAGCGTAGGTGGACTATACCATTAGTAACAAAGCACTGAATGTAGCAGCACACTGACAAGCGTGAAAAGCCTTGTCTAGCGCGGAATTTCAAGCCCACGGCTTACTTTCGTCAGTAGGAGGACCGATCCAATTAGCACATCGAAACGTGATTCGAGATGGATTTGGTGACCTTGATGTTAAAGTAGACTCAGTGTTCCTAGACTTACCGGCGCCCTGGGATGCTTTGGAAGAGTCGAAGCGTGTTATGAACGTTAGTGACCTGGATGTTTCTGCTCCACTTGCACGTACACATTTATTCAATCATGGATAGCTACTAAAACCCAAAGTGTGCTACTTCTCTCCCCACCTTTCTAGCGCTCTCAACTTTCGCGTATTTGTTGCTTTTCGCCATGCATTGAACAAGTTCAAAAAACATGTCAAACCCTAGAATCATTGGGCTTTTCTGATATAATCATGTTCGAGACGCTAGTTCGAACTCATGAACCAGTATCGCTCACTATGCCCAAGGTGGATGACGCTGTGCGACGGATAAAGGAAGTGGAGATGAAAAAACAAGCTAGACGCGAACGACAAATCTCAGAATCCAAACAACGTAGACAAGTAACTCAAAAACCATCGAGTCCTAAACCAGCAAGCGATGAAAGAAATACGAAACGAGGCCTAGATGGTGCTGATGCCACCGAAGAGCCAGAACTCAAGAAACCCCGGGAGGAAAAATGCAACGGTTCACCAGTTTGTGCCAAATCTGAGGAAATGGACACGATTATGGTGGAAGATATTAAACCAGTAGTAACGGAAACTGATCAAGCTCTCCCCGAGGTGCAACAGACGGTCATGTTAGAAACCTCAAAGCCTGCTGGGATGACAAGAGGCCATACATCCTTTCTCACTTTTGCTGTTTTGTTGCCTTTGCCCAAGCCTTAACATCAATCATTCAACTTTTTTTTTGTTGGAAAAATCGTATATAGATGCTGCCGTCACAAATCACTATGTTCCATGCATTGGCTACTTTGCCCCAGTAGATGGCCAAGTTTCGAAATATCACTGGTCTGTATCATGTCACACTTCAGATCAATCTCCAACTTTGTCGGATCTGGGTTGGGGGCAAAATTTCAATACGAGGGAGCTGTTCTATGAGTACATGAGGCATTGCCATTTGAGAGCTGCAATAATCATTAGCATGTCTCTAAACCCTGATAGACTGCGTTGTAAACGTTTGTGGACTAGCTGAGGTACATACAAGTGGAGTGGGGAAGCAATGCAATACATCAACACGTTTTTGTCTGGATGCGCAGCCCCTGGTGATCTAATCCGTTGGACCGTTACCCATTCTTCGCGGTTTTCACCTTTACTATGACGTGCAGTTTCGATTTCACCTGGTGCTAGTTTATATCCAACATTGAGTTTAACAAACCTGTTTACATCTTGTAAATTTATGAAACACTTTTTAATACCCCACTGACCTGAGGCTGCACTGACACATGCATCACCGACCACAGTAGCAGAGTTCATGTGGTCCCACTTGAAGATTAACCTTTGGCACAACTGTGGCGACTCTGCCTTATTGAAAATTTGGCAATGAGCTTTCCATACCGTTTTTAAACTCCCGGTAGAGCGTAGGCTGGATGAACGAATCGAGCCACACGCTACCCGGGGAAGCTAACAGTTGCCACCTTATCCACCCTGGTGTTGTCGGCTTGTCCGTCCGCACTAGCCTTCCTTGTGGCAATGTTACATCCAATCGTTCTCGTTGGGTTAATTTTATTCAATCTTCTGCCACCACTGAACACAAGACCCGCAACATCATGGGGCTCTCGCCTTGACATTGTAATTGAGCAACTCGCGCAGGTGCGGTTTTTGAACAGAGTTGATGTAGACGAATACAAAAGATCTTTTGCACAATCCAGCCACAGGCTCATTCTTCTGGATAATGATGTAGGTAGACATTCCGTTATAGTGATTTTTTAAGGGGGTGCGGATTCCGTCCTGACTCCTAGGGAGTGACTAAAGAATTATTTATTCGCAGGGTGTGTTAAAGCCCGTGGAAGGATTTCCCACCGAAGACTATGCAAGCACGTGCGAGGTTCTACTGAAGCTCGCCGAGAATCCGAAGAATGAAGTTTGGATCATCTCGGGGAAAACACTTGCTAACTTGCAAGAGAAATATGGCCACATAACCAATCTAAACCTTGCAGGGGAGTTAGGGACAGACATCCTACCAGCCAAGGGGAAAGTGGCGCCCAGCCTACCACCAATATCTTCAAATACGGAGAGCCTTTTACGCGAGTTGGTCAAATTAGCAGAAGGTGAATGTTGATGTCTACCATTGTAGTTTCCATGTATGCAACTGCTGAGATTGCTGTAAAAATGGTAGAATCAATTGCTTTCTTGAAACAGTATTAATAAAAAACTCAATAGAAGTAATAGTCTTAAAGAATAAAAAACAATGTTAGAATGAATACTCAAATGACAATATAAATGAAATATAACATTAATAAATACCTGATGGATGAAATCAGAATATAACAAAATCTTAACACGATTTATACCAACGTTAACTCTTAACACACAGGAATGTTTTAGCGAATACAGCCTAGAGAAATGAATAATAAAAACGGTCAATATTTTGATTACAAGTGAGAAGAAACAAGTCAAATCAACTACCTGCCCAGCAGCTGATTCTAGCTCCTCCTGAGTGCTTGAAGTAAACGATGATTAAAAACCGGTTTTCGATTTGATTGATCAGCGAACAAGATTTTGTTGACCTCGGGATGATTTTTGATTCGATTAAGAGATCGGCGGATTGTCGAAGGAAGGGGAAAGAAGGGATGACGAATGATCGATGAAGTTCAAAACTGGAAGTTGAGGCCCGCGGATGACGCGAATTAAAACTGAACTTTAAATGAATTAATACTTAATGTCCGAGTTTAAACTCAACACTCCTCCTAAACACGCACATTAACTAAATGTAATTGTTTGTACGCTTCAGCTAACTTGATTTTACCAAGCGGCTTCGTGAGAATATCAGCAATCATTTCCGTAGTCGAAACTTGAATAATCTTCATAACTTTCTTTATCATAAGTTGTCGAATATACTGAAAACGAATTTCAATATGTTTGGTGTTGGGATTCAACTGAGGCTCCTTGCTAATAACCACTGCCCCTGAGTTATCATTGAAAATTGTTGGAATGCTGATTTCTATACCAAGAGACGTAATCAAATTCGACATCCATCGAAGTTGCTTAGCACATTTATTGATCGAAATGAATTCAGCTTCAGTAGTTGATTGCGCCACAACAGACTGCTTCTTCGTGGTCCACGATACTGGATTCCCGAGAAAAGTAATCACATAGCCCGACATGGAATTTTTTGTTACGAGAGAAGTACCGTAATCCGCATCGGCCCATCCGCAGAGAGAATCAGAAGGACCCTTCGTGAAAACTATTCCAACGCTCTTTGATCCACATAGATACCGCATCAAATGTTTAACCATAGACCAATGTGCTTGAGTAGGATTTGAAGCAAATTGAGCGAGAATATTCACCGTGAAAGCTATATCTGGACGAGAATGAAGAGCAAGATAATTCAACATTCCTATAGCCCGCTGCATCATTTTCACATCGAACGGAGGGGAGTCGAATGCCATAACTCGATGAAAATTCAATGGTGAAGGAGCTTTTACCGGGTTGGCGTCCAACATATCAAAATCATTCAGAATTTTATGCGTAAAATCAGATTGATGAATAAAAAGAGAACCGTCGGCATTCCAGACCAGAGTGTAGCCCAAATGTTGAGTCGGACGTTCTTTGATTTTCAAAACGTAAGTCTTCTGGAGATTATTTAAAAAATTCAAAATCGATTTTCTAGATTTTCCAACAATGAGACCATCGTCCACATGCATGTGAAGTAAAATCGATTTGTCGGAGTTGTGAAACAAAGCATCGTCTAGTATCGAAGCCACGAAGCCAACTTGATTCAAAGTTTCGACCAAATGTTGTTTCCACATCCGTGGAGCTTGCTTCGTACCATACAACGATTTCTTCAATTTCCACACCCAACCTTTCTTAGCTGGATCGGGATCTTCAAATCCTAACACTTGCGAAACGTAAATTGAAGCATCGATGTTACCGTAGAGAAATGCCGTTTCGACGTCAAATTGAAATACCGAATAATTATTGTTGACCGCGAGCGATAACATCATTTTGAGCGATTCATTCCGGGCAACTGAGGAATATGTTTCAAAATAGTGTAACATATGTTCTTGATGATTACCGAACACGACCCAGCGAGCTTTATGACGACAAACCTCTTTAAATTCATTGAGCTTTCTTGTAAGTAACCACATTCCGCCTATGATTTTATCGTCGGAAGGAGGCGGAGCTAGAATACCGGTGTTCTTTACTTGAAGAGAGTTGAATTCAGAAGACATAGCATCATGCCAATCGGTCAAATGATTTTCGTCATTCATAGCTTCATTAATCGTTACGGATTCGTTTAGATTAAGTTCAGGAAACTCTGTTTCAATCATGACGTTCAGATCTGGAAGATTCTTATCTTTTCTTCTAGATCCTTCGATTATGTTAGCTGGATTTATATTTGAATTGATATCCTTCGGGGCTAGCTGACTAGAAGGAGTCCATTCATATGTAAAACGCTTAGTCGAAGGAGGTAAAATCGAACGACCTGGATTCTGAGTTATCGATCTCGTTGTCGATTCAAGAGAAGGAGATGACTGAATTGGAGGTAGGGATGGAGGTGGAAAAGATGATGGTTGAAAAGGAGGTGTTACATAACCGGAAGATTTTGATAGTGATTTGTCTTCAGGAATATGAACAGAGATATATTCATCTTTTTTAAGAACACATGATCTGGGCAAAGTTGAAGATAACTTAATCATGGCCTTCGGAGAGTTGTAAGGAAAAGTGAATGAAGAAACCGAGTAATCACGGCTGATTACAATTCGACGAGATAAAGGATCGAAAAACCGCATGGCATCCGACCTAGGCTCATATCCAACGAAATGAAGAGGTTTCGATGGAGGTGCAATCTTTGATTTTGGAGATTGATCATGAACAAATACTTTCAAACCAAATGGAATGAGAGTATTGACATGACGAATTTGCTCAATCATTGATTTTGATTCAACCAGAATCGAGATAGGTGATTTCCAGTTTATTGAAATTGACGGAAGCATATTGATGAGCGTTGAAGCAAATTTGGTGGCTTCATCCCAATAATTCAACGGAACCGTACATTGCGCAAGCATACAACGTATTTTGACCAACAATGTTTGATTGAATCGTTCGGCTAGACCATTAGATTGAGGTGAGTTAGCTGGTCCTTGTTCCAAAGAAATTCCACGGTCGAAAAGAAATTTTTTGAAAACATTAGAACCAAACTCACCACCTCGATCAGTGTGGAGAATAGCAGGAGTTATTGACAGCTGATTAATCAATTCATTGATGAATGATAGTATCTTCGATTCAGATTCGCTTTTCTTTTGCATTAGATAAATACGATTGAAACGTGAGAAATCGTCGATGAGAACCAGAATGTATTGAAAACTCCCACGAGAAAGAGGCGTGATTTGTAGAACGTCCATGTGAATCATCTTGAATGGCGATGATGCAGATGACAATGAGTTGGAGTGAGATGATCGTTTGATTTTAGCCATTCGACACACTTCGCATTGAGAAGAAGAACCAATATGATTGTTCTTAGGAATCTTCATCAACTCGAGAAATCGATTAACATAGATGTCGGATGGATGACCAAGAATGATATGCCAGTCCTTCAAAGATTCCTTTTCAGTCAGAGAGAAAAGAAAGCTGGAATCGGAGTTAGATCCAGATGAAACGTATAAATCACCGACTCGAGGAAATTTTTCAATTATTGTCGATCCCATATAAACAATGACCAGTTTGTTTTTATGTTGAATTCGAAAACCGTGATCTTCAAGCTGCGACATTGAAATTAGATTAAATTTTCCGGCAGGAGCGTAGTTGACGGGAAAGATATCGTAAATACCAAATTTCATTGTACCGACATGAGTAATATCGATTGATCCAGAATAGGTTTTCATCTTCTTTGTAATCGGTTTCAAATTAAAAAGAAGACGAGAATCCGAAACCGTTGATTTAGAAGCGCCGGAATCAAGAATACACCGAATGTTGTCCATGGGATTTGATCCAATGTGATAGTTTTCTTCATCCTCAATGAAGAAATCAGTTTCATAAGGATCATTAGGATCATCAACAACGGCTCCTGCGTGTTCTTCCTGATCTTCGGATTCTGATTCATCAATCGTATTCAAATCTTGAGCTTGTAATTTTTTCAAGGCTTGAATTTGATCGTTGATCAATTTTTGAATATCGGCTTTGTTGGATGATGATGAAGATATCGGTCGAGGTTGATTTCTAGTAGGAACAACGTTTCGAAACTTTGAACCGTGTGATTGAGCTTTGAACTTATCTTTGTTCGGTCGAACAAAATTCTTTGAATTGGAGGACGAGATCGTATTCAATGAACCTGAACCTTTCTCCGTTCGTGTATCTTCAACATTCATGCGAGCAGCCAGTCGTTCGAATGTAAACGGTTGGATATCGTATAAATTTTGAATCAGCGATGCCAATGAATCGTCGAGCCGAAAACTTTTGAGGAAAAAGATACCGGCCATAGTCGTTCCGACGTTCATGTCGTTTTTCATTTTATCATCGGAGTCGGTGGTAATGTTGGTTGCAGCAACAGCTGATTTCAAAGAGTTGTAAAGATTTTGAAATTTAGAAACATGAGCTCCGATTGAGGTACCGGGAACGTAATCGCATGAAACTAGAGCGAATAATTTGTCTCCGAGTTTGATAAGCGATTGTTCTCCGCAAGTTTCAGCCAAACTTTCCATGGCTTCAGAGAATGAATCGGCACCAGCGGCGACAGGCTTCAAGTCGGAAGAAAGACATGATTGGAGTAGAGTGAATGCGAGAGCGGACTTCTTGCGAAATTTTTTTTCTTTGGCATGAGTCTTGCACCATTCTTTATCAAATATCTCTTCATGACCACGGCCTACAAGGAGATTGGTAAAGAACTTCTTCCATTCGGTCCAATTGTCCCGATGAAGTTTCAAAAGTGTAACCTTCTCATGATGATCGTCGTCGCTCGATGAATCGTTTTTAATCACCGAAGAATCGGCCATCTCGTTCGCTTGATTTTAATCTATAGACTATTCTTACTTTGAGTTTTCTACTGTCAAGCAATGACTCTCGCTACCATGTAAAAATGGTAGAATCAATTGCTTTGTTGAAACAGTATTAATAAAAAACTCAATAGAAGTAATAGTCTTAAAGAATAAAAAACAATGTTAGAATGAATACTCAAATGACAATATAAATGAAATATAACATTAATAAATACCTGATAAATGAAATCAGAATATAACAAAATCTTAACACGATTTATACCAACATCAACTCTTGAAACACACAGGAATGTTTTAGCGAATACAGCCTAGAGAAATGAATAATAAAAACGGTCAATATTTTGATTACAAGTGAGAAAGAACGAGTCAAAACAACTACCTGCCCAGCAGCTGATTCTAGCTCCTCCTGAGTGCTTGAAGTAAACGATGATTAAAAACCGGTTTTCGATTTGATTGATCAGCGAACAAGATTTTGTTGACCTCGGGATGATTTTTGATTCGATTAAGAGATCGGCGGATTGTCGAAGGAAGGGGAAAGAAGGGATGACGAATGATCGATGAAGTTCAAAACTGGAAGTTGAGGCCCGCGGATGACGCGAATTAAAACTGAACTTTAAATGAATTAATACTTAATGTCCGAGTTTAAACTCAACAATTGCATCACGAATTCTGCTTTGAATCTGTTTGCAATATTCCTGGTGGGATTTTCTGAAGATGTTGGTGAGTAAGAATTATGGAAAAGCCGGGTCAAAACTGAAAAAGCGAATCCTATTACCTATGTGGTATTCCGCAGGCATTCCTGAAACTTCATTCAAATCCTTCAAGCACTACGTAGTCTTTCGACACCCCAAGGAAAATACCAGTGAGTCCTTCGCTTCGACACTCAATTTTCTCGTTAGGGGTATTTAAACTAGTCATATTCATTCATCGTGTCTTTGCTTTAGGATTAGATGACATTTCCCAAACAGAAACACAAGTGATTCTGAATGGAATGATATCTCTAACCAGGACAAAGGCCTTCAGTGATTTTGAACTGGTCACTTACCCAGAAAGCAGCTTTTCAGCCCTTGTTCACAAGGGCTGCAATAAAGGTTTATTGGCTCAAAAGTTGCTTGAAAGATTCACACATCCTGATGCGGTAGGCCTTTCCATAGGGGATCAATACATAGACGAGCCAATGCATAGGTCAATGAGGTCCAGGGGGTTCTTCTCTGTTGTTGTCACTAAACATGAAGACCAATACACTTATGCCAGGAACAAGTTATCAAACCACAAGGAAGTTCACGATCTACTTAAATCTTTGACAGATGATTGATTTTGTGCCATTGAGTTTATTCTTTGTTTTTATCCTGCTTGCTTACCCCTCTCGTCTTCAAACTTGTGTTTTAATTATCTCCGACAATTTTTGCTGCTCTGGTCACTGGACTGGAACCCAAAAAGTTGTGGAGCACATTGCGATATCCATCACAATGTTTTGACAGATCACATCCCCGATCAGGATCAGACATGCCTCAGAACTCTGTTATTTGCGCGTGTCATCTCACCGCAGAGATTCGCTCCAGCCCACACTCGGATGGCAAAGGGTGGCAAAGGTCAAATTTGCTCCAGCTGAACCAAATCTTTCTTTGATTGGATTGATTTGTATTTTCAACTTATTCTTGTGGTTGAATAATTGGTAAAATTTGTAACCAAGGGCAATTCTACATTTGACTGTCTTTTCCGATACATAAGATAAATGTCACCTCAGTTCCCACCCAGATGATAATGTACCAATTTATGAAGGGGAATTCCTCCTTGCAAAGGTCGTCCGGTCGCCCTCAAACCTGACCAAATCCGCGAGGACTGTGCCCGAAGGCGGGCAAAGTCCTTGATTGCGAACTTGAAGAAGTCCACGAGCACTCTGCCCAAAGGAGGGTACAGTCCTCGGTCGCGAAATTAAATCTGTTTGCCAACTTGAGAGGGTTCTCTGGGTACAGTCCCTGGTCATAATAACAAAATCTGCGAGGGCGGCGCCGAAAACACCATGGATCTCCTGATCATCTCTCTAGATATTTCAAATCTTTGCGACTACCATCATGATGTTCCAACGGCCACCGTGATGTCATCAGGTTACGATTTTGAGCTCATCGGGCTGTATAGGATATCCGGTGTACTGCTTGACGGTCATTGGGAAGCTCAACAGCCATGGAGATGTTGGAGGATTGGGTCCCACAATCCAGATGCTTCCACCTTTCCCCTTGTAGAGGGAGATTAACTGCAACTGTCACATGGAAGCTGGATCAAACACGATAAATAGATTGCTTATACTGCCTTGGATAAGTTTTCAGACTCATCAACATCTTCAATTTGGATCACTTCATATCCCTCGGCACCGAATTTGCAACAGCTAAATATCACTCCTTGCGGTAGGCTTCCATCTTCTTCCACAGAACATGATACGTTCAAGGGTCATCCTGAAACCCATTGCTCATATCATTTTTGTATTTAGTAGGTCGCCAAGAGCAGCCAAGAGCTTATATTTATGTAGAGAGAGTGCGTTGGGTTCCGTCCCCCTCAAATATGCATTGAAATAGAACGTAGACGTATGAGGCAGTGTTTCACTTTTCCAGTGTAGCTGGGGAAGAGTTCACTTCTATTTTGTACGCTCCTTGTTGCTTCAAGAATTGTCAGGAATCGCAGCATGTGCACCTACTCTTGCCCTACGTTGGTGTCTCCAGCTCAACTGACCCAGTTCCACAAGCAGCCACAGCAAGTCACCAAGTTCATTAACACAGTCAAGCCTCTTCACATTCTTTACACGATTAACTACAGTAAACATGGTCACAATTTTTATCACCCTCTACGTGCTCATATTCAACACGTTGCTCTGGACAGTTAGTGGTGCGAAAGAAAATAGGATTTTACACGTTGCCGCCAATTCCAAAAGCACTTGGTCTAAACCCAATCTGATGAGGACCCAACGCTTTCAAATGGGCCACGCGAACGTTAGCTTCTGCCATCCGATAGCGAATTCTGAAGGGTCACCTATTCCTATGTCCAACTCTACGCAAGACATCCAGTCAATCACTCCAGTGAACCTGAGCCCAACCGAATGTGCTAACCCCAAATGCACCATCCCCAACTTCGGTACACCTGTCCTAGTGCGCGTTCATCCCACTTCATTTTATCTGCTTCAATCTTTTTGTCTGATCCATTCTGGTTCCCTTATCCTGCCTCTACTTTTCAGTCTAGCTGTGAGGTGGTCGCCCAGGCGTTAATGAACAACTCCACTGGAACTTTTGTTGTACCTCCGAGTAAGCCTGATGTGTTTTATCCATATTTTTTTTTCTTGTCCTGGAATACGCATAAACACCAAATTAATCTCAAGCTGAACGATTTCTCAGATACATGGGTCGTGGTCTCTCATGGGAATTGTGCGCTCGCTTTGTGAGTGGTTAAATTTTTGTTTCCCGGTTTGCAAACAGTCAAAATGTCTCTCGCAATTTTTTTTTTGTTTTTGAAAATTTTTAAATTTTTCTTTGTACTGAACTACAGCCGAGGAGGTACAGCTGTCATCACTATTACAGTTCTGACAGGTCCAGTTCAGTAAAAAAATAAAAAATAAAAAAAATAAAAAAATAAAAAAGATTTCGCGAGTCCTGATGGACAACCCTTTCCGAAATAGCTGTACCGATGGGCCCAGTTCGGCCTGGAGGCCGTCAAACTGATAGACCGATGCTTGTTACCACAAGACGGACCGACAGGCGGACAATGCCTGTATGATTCCTATCTTGACTATAAATTCGAAAAGGTCAGTCACTTTCTTCTTAGCCCTTTTCTCTTTCCTTCTGCTTTTTCAGTTTGGCTGGCATGCTGAAATCTTTGAGCCTTTCGAAAATACATCCATCAAACAACAGGTTGGTATTATGCTTTCAAGCTGGAAAGATGAGATCAATTTTATTGATTCCGACTAGCCCGACTGATTGTCACTACTCCGGGTATCACCTTGGAACTGTCAACCGTAATTCGTCCCTCCTTCGATCTAAATGAATGTACCTCCTTCTTCTTTGCTTTTCCCATGCCGAGCTGAGATGGAATTGATCATCATAAGGTGTTCAGTTATGTACATCCTGATCGGGTTGAGTGTCTCGCTAGCGGATCATTTTGCGCCATTGTGACCCAGCGAAGGACGAGTGACCAAGGAGGTGTTGTTTTGTAATCGGATGGCATCAAGCTGCCTGTCTGGCAGTCTGCCGATCTGGTCTCATTGTGCGATTCTGCGCGAAGCAATGGCGATGAAGTTTTTCATGCGTTTTTCTGTATCGTGGATTTGCACCACTTGTCACTGTTTTTTGATACACGCCATGATGATGAACGAGCTGAAATAAAGACATTGATCGCGATCAAACACGGGGCTGGATGGCATTCCATCTCTAATACACCGGCTCCCGGAGTATTAGACGCATTCACAGTTGCCAACTTGCCGGGAGTAGCAAAGCGACTCCTATAAACAGCGTCGTTCGACGCGTCTCATCAGTCTGAATGAGTCTTAAGTG